GTGTGTGTGTGCGTGTGCTTCACATGGATTATTAAAGAATTTCTTCTTTCTGAGTCTCTGACAGTATTTGGCACAATTTGAGATCAAATTTATTGTGGAAAACTGTCTGTTTGCTTGCCACCATTCTAGTAATTTATCTATTTAGAAGAACTAAAATATTTAGGAATTTAATTTATTGTACCATTCAATATTTTGTATTGATAAATGGGTTGGAAACCGTTGTAATGTTATCAGAGTTATCACCCAAATCAGCAGCTATTTATATCTGGGTTTTAGTTCTTCATTTATGTTCAGTTTTGTATCAGTTGAACTGGTTGAGTCTTGGCTGCTCTCATAAGTGCGTTTCTAATTGTAGTAGCTGTGAAAGTGTGGTTGAGAATGGCTCTGGGTATAAATGCATTCTGTGTAGATCCTGACGGAGTGCTGAAACTGCAGCTCCAATATTTTTCTTTCACTGTGTAAACCCTGTGCTGAAGAAATGAAGATAATACCTTTCAGGCTGAAATCTATCAATATAGATAATGGCTCATATAACTCAGGCTCCAATAAGCTTACATTTTTCATCTCACTCTCCATATTTGATATTAATTGATACCTCTGTTTTCCAACCAGACATCCCAGACTGAGAAACATCTACTGCTGTGGGGTCAAAGCCTACAACATTAAAGACCCACAGATGAAGTGCTGTGCAGGAACACTGTACAATCTGACATCATTAGATGAGCATGGAGGGGATGCGCAGTGCTGTGGATCCATTCTGCAAAAGCCACAGGTAGAGTCAGTGATATTGATGGCGTCAACAAAGTATTTTGTATTTCCTACCACTGCTTCACCCCCTTTAAACAGGCTTCTGCCTGTTGTAGGCACGAAACATGATTTAAAGTTACTTTTGGCTACAGTGGTTAGCATAACTGATGCTAACTTTTAATGCTAGATTTTTTTGTGAAGGAACATGAAGCGTATTTTTTGAAGAAAATTAATTGATATAGGTCTGGGGAAAAACTTAAGAAAGCAGCAGCTCCCTCCCACTACGCCATTGAAAGTACTGTTTAGTAATGAATGTTATACAACTGGAAATCTTCTAAATAGCAAAGTTGAATATCGGGGTTGCACCCATAAAAAGCTTGCCAAATTTTCTCTGCTAATGTTACAATGTTTTTGTAACAAAGAGCTGATAAAATATTACAATGTTTTTGTAACAAAGAGCTGATAACTGAGGATGTAGCAAGATTATTGGCTTAACATGTAATGTGGCCTGACTGAATTAACACAATGCCTCAGTGACTGCAAACAATTATGTTTTTATTAACAATAACACATAATATCTTTTCAAAACCAGGAGATTTGCTGCTCAGGTGAGGACAAAGAGGTGCTTTACACTGTCAAGACAGGATTTGGATGCTGTGGTCACCTCTATTACAACACCACTTTGTGGTCGTGCTGCGCTGGGAGGCTTACATTAATCAATGAATCAGAACAGGATCAGAGAAAGATGATTAATGGTCAGTCGCATACATTTAGATGTCCTCTCACAAAGTAGAACTTCATTTTGTGTCATTTTAACATGATGGCACAGCCCAGATTCTGCATTTTACCAATAATATGTCTATACACTTTTTTTTTCAGAATACCGACATTTCTCTGTGAATAATCTGAACAAAACTTCTCTTTGCAATAAAGGTATGAAATATATACACATGTTGGAATGCCATTGAAAAATAATGTGTATTTGTAATGCAATGTTCTGCATCTCTGTTTAGTGCGCATTGGGATTGTGGAAAGTGTGTCTCTGCATAGCATTGTTTTCAAGAGCATGCTAAAAGTCCATGGGAAGAAGGCCAAAGTCAAAGCTTTGTCTTTGCCGTACACCCTGAAAATAGTTGATCACTGCAGCTCCCCTAAACTGATTCCTGGGAAGATCTATATCTTTAACAACATTAATATTTTCACTGATTTCAATCATCAATCTGTTCTTCAATCACTGCATTTCATTTTTTCCAAGTGTTCACCTTAGACCAGTAATCACATTCTAGTTACAACTGTATTCTTACTTGTGTTACAAAGGTCATCTGCTTGAAGACAGATTAGAAGAAGAGAAAATCATTAAAAGTGCCATATGGGCATTTCTTTCATTTTAGTGCATTGAAGGACAAGAACGTGCAAGTACAAACTACTTCGAGCTTGAAAGTGACATGCACATTGATCCCAGCCAAGCAGCTAGAGTTCTCATTCTGTTTATTTGGGACTGTAGTCTAACTAGTGTGATGGTACACCTAAGGTCATGTTAGAGTAATGCAAAAAAAGATAAGATGAATAAAAATTATTTATTTATAAAACTATTTAAAATGTAAAGTAATTAAGGAAGTAATAACTACTTCAAAATCACCAAGAAATGTCAAACTTTAATTACTTTAGTTACAATTATGTCTTTACTTGTGTTACTTTTTAAAAAAAACAATGAGCAATGTGTAATTTCTTACTGTTTATGGGAACCATCCCATCTTTATGTAACAGTACAACATTCAACCTTACAGACCCACACAACAAAAAAAGAAGATATAAACGTGATCATCTTTAGGTATAGCCACAATTACCAGCAAAGTTAGTGGAAAAACAGGTCAAAATTTTCAAATAGCCAGTTCAGTAGAGTTCTCTGAAATTGACACAGTCATCTTAAGCAGCGGTCCCCAACCTTTTTTGCGCCACAGACCGGTTTATGCCCGACAATATTTTCATGGACGGACCTTTAACACACGTGAAAAGACCCAGGAAAACCGAGTTAACGATCAAAACGATAACAAAATAACGCTGAAAACTGATAAAAACCCTGAAAACCATACATTTCATACCTGAGCCTCTACTCTCGCAGCCTGGTACCAAACGACTCACGGACCGGTACCGGTCCGAGGCCCGGGGGTTGGGGACCGCTGATCTTAAGCACTGCTCAGGGTTTTAGGGTCCTTTTTCAGGTTCTTGACAAGAATTGAATCCTGTTTGCAGCAATGGATAGATGCTTCTCACAGTGAAATCAATGTATTGCACTAATCTCAATTGCTCAATGTTGTACACCACTTTATTTTTTGTGTTTCTGCAAGGTGAGCCCACTTAATTGTTGCATTGTTGCATACATGAAAAAGCTAAAACTGTTTTTTTAAGTCAAACCCACACTATTGAATGTATGCATGTATTATAAATCATATGTTTTATTTTACTAGCTAAAGCTAGAGAACAATAAGCACTTACTTCTGAATTTCATAGATGTTATAAGAATTGCTATTTCTTCTTAACTACCCAACTGTGTTCACCTTTGTGTAAGCTGTAGTTACTTTTTAACGAGAATGTGATTTACGTAATGTGATTAAAGATAGAGTACTGTAACTGGCAGATGCAGAGTGGGTACTATGGATGAGCCCCAGGGGTCCAGGCTCATCCAATAAAGTTATAGTGCCTCCTGAGCTGAATTGTATGCTATACTGTAACTAAGTTACACTAATTCACACAATTTGGTGATTAAAAAAAACGCCAAACAAACCTTGGACCTATCCAGGTCAAACTTTGGGAAGTGCCTTTCTCTTTGAAACCAAAAAAAAAAAAAAAAGATTCGTCAGGTTGTGAAGCTAGTTTTAAATCATGACCCTATTCAAAGGTTTCAAAATAAATGGAAATCTGTTCAAGATATTTACTTAGGTTTATTGAGCCACTTCTGCACTTCTGTCTCTTTTCCTCTGCAATATAAGACAGATGCATTTTTTTAAAAATATTTCTCTGTGAATGTTTGGTGCTATGCATGTATTTATATTTAATTTTCCTATAGAATAGTAATGTGACTTGTGTTGAATGACTCCTGTCAAAGTTGGTTGTTCTTCCAGTTCATATGGTCTGCAATTGACCCAGGGTAAAGGTTTGCCATTTTTGTACTGTATATTGCTTTATTAGAAGTTGCTGACATCTGTCATTTTTTGAGTTGATTTATTAAAGAAAACAATATTGTACTCATAAATGCACATTTATTATTGTCTAATTCTGTCTTCCAACAAACCGATGTAGTTCAAGGGCTTAAAATGAATCCATTAAAATACATAAGACTGGGGCCAGTTTTTTGCACCACCATCTTAAATACAGTAGCCAAGATGAATATTGCCAATCTATCTAACTACGATTTATGTATGTGGCTATGTACTGGTCACATGTGGACAACAGAACTCACTGACATTTGCATACTATGGAGACAAAGTTTAAGACTTGAATTAGGAGAAGTAAGAAAGCAGAATTAAGTTGAAGGCAATCTACTAGTAATTGGCGGAACCACAAAGAGGAACACAACATAGATTTTCCAAAGAAGGTTTGACTGTTGTACTAAATTTTGTATATATTTAAGTTTATTTGAACCACTTTCTAATGCACTGAACTATAATCTTGAAGGCAGAGTGATCAAACGGTATTCAATGTCAAAATTATTCTATACATGTGTAGCCCTGTGTTACGGCCATAGCAGGGCCTCTCTCTCCTGAGGGTGCCTGTGTGGGCGTGTCCCACTACCTCCTGCCTGAGATGCCACCTTTCCCGCCGGTACAGCTGATTCCCATTAGCGATTAAAGGTATTTAAGCCCAGAGCAGGGTGAGCTCTGGGCCAGAGTGCCATTTTGTGTGGGCCCAGCTAGTGAGCTGAGTGTCTTGTGGTGTTTCCAGCTAGTGAGCTGTGTTTGTGGTTTCCAGCTGGTGAGCTGTGCTTTCCTTTTGACTTTTTGCTTTATTTGACCAACGCCTGAGTTTTGTTTGTTTCTTTTATGGTGATAACGGCTTGTCCGTCTCTTTTAGTTGAATAACTTCAATAAAACTTTTATTTAACTGTTTTGCCTCCCTGTCTCCTTTTTCTGACCCGGTCACTTTTGTTGCTTCCCCCTTAACGCCTAGACCCCCCGGGGAACGTAACACCCTGTCTGAAATTTTTCAGGCTTACAGGGTAAAGAAAGTCTACTGTTATAAAAAAATGGTTAAAATATAAATAGTTGATCAAAGGTTTAAAATCATATGCTTTGGTACAAATGTATTTCATTTACAGTTAAGAGTCCAATAAATAAAAGGGTTTCATGATTTAGAGTTGACTTCAATGCTCACGTGGGTAACGACAGCGAGACCTGGAGGGGCGTGATTGGGAGGAACGGCCTCCCTGATCTGAACCCGAGCGGTGCTTTGTTATTGGACTTCTGTGCTAATCACAGTTTGGCCATAACGAACACCCTGTTCGAACATAAGAGTGTCCATAAGTGCACGTGGCACCAGGACGCTCTAGGCCGTAGGTCGATGATCGATTTTGTAATCGTATCACCAGACCTGCGACCATATGTTCTGGACACTCGGGTAAAGAGAGGGGCTGAGCTGTCAACTGATCACCACCTGGTGGTGAGTTGGATCAGGTGGCGGGGGAGGACGCTGGACAGACCTGGTGCACCTAAACGCGTAGTGAGGGTGTGCTGGGAACGTCTAGCAGAGGCCCCAGTCCCGAGATCTTCAACGCACACCTCCGGCAGAGCTTCAACAGCATTCCGAGGGAGACTGGGGACATTGAGTCCGAATGGACCATGTTCAGCGTCTCCATTGCCGAAGCTGCTGCATTGAGCTGCGGCCGCAAGGTGGTTGGTGCCTGCCGTGGTGGTAATCCCCGAACCAAATGGTGGACACCAGAGGTGAAGGGAGCCACCAGGCTGAAGAAGGAGTCCTATCGGGCTTGGTTAGCCTGTGGGACTCCGGAGGCAGCCGACAGGTATCGACAGGCCAAGCGGAATGCGGCTCGGGCAGTGGCTGAAGCAAAAACTCGGGTGTGGGAGGAGTTCGGAGAGGCCATGGAAAAAGACTTTCGGACTGCCTCGAAGAGATTCTGGCAAACCGTCAGGCGTCTCAGGAGGGGAAAGCGGTGCTCTACCTGCACTGTGTATAGTGCTGGCGGAGCGCTGCTGACGTCGACTGAGAAAATTGTCAGGCGGTGGAAGGAATACTTCGAGGACCTCCTTAATCCCACTGACACGTCTTCCGAGGAGGAAGCAGAGTCTGGGGATGAGGGGAATGACCCGCCAATTTCCGGGGGCGAGGTCACTGAGGCAGTTAAACAACTCCTTGGTGGCAGAGCCCCTGGTGTTGATGAGGTCCGCCCCGAGTTCCTGAAGGCTCTGGACGTTGTAGGGCTGTCCTGGTTGACACGCCTCTGCAATGTTGCGTGGAGATCAGGGGCAGTACCTCGTGGACTGGCAGACCGGGGTGGTGGTCCCCATCTTTAAGAAGGGGGACCGGAGGGTGTGTTCCAACTACAGGGGGATCACACTCCTCAGCCTCCCTGGGAAAGTCTATGCCAGGGTGCTGGAAAGGAGAGTTCGTCCGCTAGTCGAACCTCGGATACAGGAGGAACAATGCGGTTTTCGTCCTGGTCGCGGAACACTGGACCAGCTCTTTATCCTCTCCAGGATACTTGAGGGTGCATGGGAGTTTGCCCAACCAGTCTACATGTTTTATCTCTC